CTAACTCCAGTTTACACAGTGCATTTATGTCCACTGATCTGGTGGCAGAAAGCTTACTCTGCCATATCACTAGGGGGAGCACTTATGCCTTAAAAAAAAAAAAAAGAAAGAAAGAAAGAAAGATAAAAATAGGAAAAAAACATGTTCTCAATTATAAATGTACTATACCTGACTGACCATGGGAGACAAAGGAAAAATGTTTGGAAAATTCACAGGATGAAGTGAAAAACAGTTTAAAACTCAGCAACTTTTAAAGTAAGCCACATGAAACATGGGTTAGATAAGGTATGTTAATCAATCAACACATTTAATGCATAATATAAATGGCAAATATTGCTTAAGATAGGGTCTTTTATAAGAATATATAAATTGTAAAACAGGCTGACCTTACCATCACTCTGTTAAAAATGCTCCATTATTACTTGTAAAGATTCTAGTTTCTGATAAATATTATTAGGAAAGGAAGTTAATGGATATACATGACAAACTTCAGTTAAAATACTTTACTTGCCTATTATTTTATTAAATTGTTGAGGGAAATATTAGTGCCATCATCCTATTTAAGAGTTTGAAACATACCTTGAACACATAAGTAACAAAAAAAAAAAAAAGCAGGGAAAGGAGACAGAAGGGAATTAACTTTAATTGGGTATGCACTGTATGCCAGATGATCCACAATTAATACAACCACTCATGGGGGATTATTATTTCCATTTTATAGATGACAAAACCAGGCTCACAAAGATAATGAATAATAGAGTAGGTAAGACCTTAATCTGTCTGATTCTACTGCCAACAATTTAAAAAAAAAATCAGAAATTGTTTAATTCAAGTTGGTTAACTTAAATACATTTCATTTTGTTAAGAGTTACCTTTACATTACAGCAAGAAAAAAAAGAACTAACAATGTACAAAAATATGGATTATATCCCAAGAGTTTGCAATCTATTAAAGCAAATGGACATATACACATGAGTTAAGGAATATGAAGCAATGATTAATTGCTGGCTGAGGGATGCAGTCACTAAAGTGATATGGAAGCTGAAAGAAGCTTGGCATCCATGTGGCTTCCTTATGGCAGCACAGGACTGTGGCTGCATCCCAAGGATGGTAAACATTGGCAGGTATAATGAAACGGTACTCCAGGATGCAGAAGGCAGAGTTGAGGATGACCACAGTGTATCTGAGGTCAGCATCACTGTTTCAAAAAGAGCTGGTCTGAGTAGAAACAAGCCACATGTCCACCACTGAAGAATGCTTAAGCAAAATGTCCCTTTTTACCCCAGGTTTTGCTTTCCAGGGCTTCAGTTACTTATGGACAACTATAATCTGAAAATATTAAATGGAAAATTCCAGCAATAGACAAGCCATAAGATTTAAATAGTGTGCCACCTCAATGAAATCTTTCATCGTCCAGTGCTCTCTTGCAGTATAGTAATGCTTAATTTTGCTTAATCATGGACCCAAAGCACAAGAGTAATGACGCTGGCAATTCAGATATCCCAAGGAGAAGACAAAAAGTGCCTCCTTTAAGTGAAAAGGTGAAAGTTCTTGTTAATAAAAATAATCATGCACTAAAGTTAAGAAGGAATCTTCTACCCATGAAATTGTGAAGAAGGAAAAGGAAATTTGTGCTAGTTTTATGGTTATACCTTAAATTGAGTCTTGTAAGTACTTAATTAAGACGAAGATGGTAAAAGTATGAAATTATAGAGCTCTGTACTACATGCTATTTCAAGCATCCAAAGGTCTTGAAATATCCTTTGCAGATAAGGGGGATCTACCACATACGCATACTACAGAATACTATTTAGCAATAAAGAGGAATATAGTAGTGACACATGCTATGACATGGATGAACCTTGAAAACAAAATGCTAAGAAAAAGAAATCTGTCACCTATTATAATTCATTTACAGGAATGGCCAGAATAGGAAGATCTACTGAGACAGAAAGCAGATTAGTGGTTCCCAAAAGCTGGCAGTTGGGAAGTGAGGTTGAGCTAATCTACAGGATTTCTTTTTGGGGTGACAAAAAGGTTCTAAAATTGATTGTGGTAATGCCTGTACAATTCTGTGAAATACACCAAAAACCACTAAACTGTATACTTCAAATGAGTGAACTATATGGAATGTGAATCACATTTCAATGTAATCATTTTAAAAAGTGAGGGACTAGTGGAACTTCACATTGCACATCTAAGATGGAATCATTTATGGAGTATTCTGAAAGCCAGGCTTAAGGGTCTGGAATTTATCTGATAGACAATTAAGAGATACATGAATAAAGACGTACACTAATACAAGTATTCGCATATTGTGAGTGCACTCCTAAAATATATGCTGAAATCACACAGAAGAGAGAGAACAGGAAAAAGATGCTGTAACACGATTTTGACTAAGACACAAGCTGTGACTATTAGGGAAGTTGTTTTTCTTCCGTGCTAAAAGCCACAGATGGGTATATCAGCACCATAATTATGCAAAACCACAAATTCATCTGTTTCAAATCTTCAAATACCGTAATGTTCTAAACTTAATTGTGAAAATGGCATTAATAACTAACCTATCATATTTTAGGGTAAGATAATGAACAGTGTCATTTGTTTTTCATTAGATGGCAGTACTCTGTACATAACTGTTTTTAGATATTGGACTCAGATTAAGTGCTATCAGACTCTTCACTGTTATAAAGCATTTCTCCTGCTGATGTTTAAACATTTGACTCTAAGTTCTAATTTAACATAATATTCCTAAAGAGTTTTAATATGCAAAATAAGAGAACTAAAGAAACAATCTGACACAAAAGCAGAGAGCAAATACATACATATACAATGTTCACATATATATGAATATTAAATATCTAATACAAGGGAAAGGTAAAGCACTCAAAAATGAGCCTGAAAAAAGTAGGAGTCAGTTTTAGGTTCTATAGCATTGGAAAGAACAAACTATCTAAATGGAATAAATTACATTTAAAATAGAAAGCTATCAATACAGAGTGGATGAGAAGGCTGTGACAGAGGCAGTTTGGAATACATCTGTGAGACAACCCACCCCTTCCCCTGAATCCCAAGGAAGAAAAAACTTTTCAGGCAGTCTGGCAGGAGAGTGAAATCCCACTTTCCCCAGGAGGTGGTGAGATGCTGGAAATGCCAAAGAAGAACCCAGCAAGGGAACCCAGACAACCAATCTAGTGTTCCCCTACCCAGGCACCCTGAACCCTCCTTACAGGAAGGTGAGCCACAAGAAACTAAAGTAGACATTGGATCTCTTTTAAAATTCTCTTCTCTAAGAATCAGAGGACCCATCTGTCTCTATAAGGGCTTTGTAAGTTCCAGAACTAAGTGAAACTTATGTTCTATGTCTGAAAAATAAAACCTAGACAACCTGGTTCTCTAACCAACAATAAAAGCAAAGAGAAAACAAGTAAGCTTTCCTAAAACAGAAAACTTATCACTGATATCTAGAATAAGGTATCTGCTATCACAAGTAAGGAGAGCAAGACACTCCAATTCCTAACAGCAAGCCAGTGTTTATACTAAAGAAAAGGATTCAGGAGGAGTAAGTAGAGGTTATTTCAAATCATTAACTGCTGTGTATTAAATTTATCCAAATTTTCACCAGTTGTACTTCAATTAAAAAAAGAAAACCTGTGAGAAAAGACAAATGTTGACATCTATCACTCACCATTTTAATCATGTTCATTATAAGGAATAAAGTACTTCAAATATGATACAATCAAATATCAAAATGATTAATAAAAGTTGCATTAGTCTCCAAGTTAATGCAAAAGCACAAACTGAGAATTCATAATATAGGCAAAGTTTTCTTTTAAATAAGTAGGAATGATGAGACCATGCTACCATAGATGACCAAAAGCAGGGAGTGAGGGGTAACAATATCAGATGAAGCTTGAGATCCAGAGGCACTGCTGAAGGCTGGAATGTCGGTGGGCATTGCCTACATGGTAAGCACACTAAGGCTCTGATTACAGTAAGAGCAGAAACTCAAGAAGCCTCCAGTAGGCTAAAGAATAATTTAAAAAATGGAAGTCCTGGAAAGGGAATTTTTTTTATAGAGTTATCCAATGAATAACATGGGTTTGAAAACACAATCTAAAACAAAAACAGAGACAAGAAACTGGCCAGCACCTGAAACTGGCAAAACAGATCGAAATTAAAAATGCAAGGATGACAAATATCCAAAGAGTAAATAACACCAGTTTTCAAAATCTGATTCTGAAAAACGAAAGTAAAGATTAAATTGCCAAAAGAGAAAAAAAAAATGTGCAAATTAAGGAAAATTTTTAAATAAGTATACACAAAATGCCTTAGGAAAATTTCCATTTCTGAAGACTGTTCATCAATATGTTAATTAATGTTCACTATCAGTTTTTAAGAAGCTACATCTGTAACACAATTTTTAAAATAATTCAGAAAAATATTATGAATATTTGCAGTAACCATTTGCCTTAAAAAATGCTGTAAAGCCTGTGAGACGGTTTGAAACTTAATGACAGTAGGCTCAATTAAATTAAAAAAAAAAACTGAAAAGATTATAACGTTCACATAGCAAAAGTAATATAAACAGGATGTCCTAAGCAGAAAATCCATATATGGTAAATGGTACATAATATTTAACTTCTACAGTGAACTTAAAAATTAATCACTGTATATTCTTAAGTCTCATCTGAACTTATTGTATCTTATGTGAGCAAAACCAAAGCTGGAAAAGAAAGAAGAATGAGGTTCAAATCAACCCATTAGTTGTTCTCCTCCAAAGCAATATTGCATAAATTAGATAACTTATTTGATTTCAGTTCTCAAATCCCTAAATCCATACCTAATATAATTCATAACATAATTGTTATGCATGTGAAAGTACTCTCTTCAAGTGAGTAAGTAAATCTGAACACAAGAGAAACATGACATTTCAGAAAGCATTCATCTATGCCACCACAAGGAAAGAACAGCAATTTCACTGAAAGACTAGGAAATACCTGAGCAGATAAACAGCCCTTTCAATGTCACTGAGGTCTTCATCAACTGTCAATCTTTCTATTTCTTCTGGTGTCTGTCAAGGGTAAAATACAAATTAGGCACATAAACACTGGTCAATCTTGCCCACCTCCAAGTGACCCTCTACAGAGTACAGACTAATGAAAAAGTTTCCCAACTAAGCATTGAAAACTAGATAAGGGTCTGATGATTCTTGGCAACATTAACCACAAAGAACTCTAACTGGGTGATCTCATGGGGAGGGGGTGTTTTGGTTTATTCTGCATTTACTCTTCTAGGTTCCAGACTGCAACTTAATCACATCGTAGCTTCAGAACCTTGCTGAAATCAATTTCATACGCATATATGATATTTATGCATATATCACATGCATATTTATAAACACAGTTCATCTCTAATACCCCAAGACTCTACCCCCCAGGAAAAGCTAAAGGGGGGAGGGGCGAATGAAGACTGCAGCCCCGTGGGAATATAAGGGACGAGATATTGGGGATGGGAGGGAATACATTTTGGAGCTGGAAGAAAATCAAAGGTTCCAGACATTGCGGCAGGTGGTAGTGAGAAGCGCTAACCGAGCTATTAAGAGACTGGTCAGGAGGGAGGAGGGTCCCCAAACTAGGTTTCCAGCAGTGGGGGTTGGAACCTCGGGAGGCTGGGAGGAAGATGACTCTGCGGGGCGGGGGACCGCGTGGGGGTGGAGGGAGCAGGCGGAAGGTTGACTCCCTCGGGGGCTGGGGAGCGGGGTCCCAGCTGGAGTCCTGGAGAGGCTGGGAGGAGAGGATGAGCAGTGACTCAGGACGGGAGCGAAGGGTTGGGAGGACTCCGGGAACGGTGCTGACTGGGACGTGAAGGGAGGAAGGGCTGCCCTGGGGACAGGGGACCCAGCTTGAGCTCGCCTGGAGTGAGGGTCCTGAGCGGATGGGCGTCGGGGGACAGGAGGAGTTGGGGCTCGGAGACCGGAGCCAGAACCTGGGCGGCACTGCCGGGACGCGGGGAGGAGGCTGCGGCCCCCGGGACCGCGCGGGCCGCGGGGCAGCCCCTGCAGGGCGGGGGCGGGGCGCCCCGAGGGCCGCGGCGGCCGCGGAGAACGCCGGGGGGGAGGCCGGGGCCAGGACTCAGTGGTTCGCGGGGAGGGCCAGGGCCCGTCCCCGGGCTGAGGGTCCGACTGAAGAGCCGGGCCGCGTCGAGGAAGGGGCCTGGGAAGAGCGGCTTAGGGTGACACGGCGACGGCGCTGAGGAGGACTGAGGGCGGCGGGCTGCTCGGGCCAGCTGGCCGGGCGCCTGGGGGCAGTTTCTCTCGGCGGGGCGCACCTTGAGGCTCCGGCGGACCGGCCTCTCGATGATGGTGAGCTCCTGCAGGTCCTCCATGTAGCCGAACAGGCTGTTCTGACCGAAATCCATCGCGACGCCGGCGGCGGGCGGCGGCGGATGCATGGACCGCCCGGACCCCTCGCCGCCCGGGCCGAAGCGGCCCCGGGATGCCGGACGCGCGCAGTCCCGCGCCGCCCACCAGCAGGACTTTCTCCCGCTCTCGACCGCGGGAACCGAGCGTGCGGCTGACGGGCGGCGGGAGCCTGAGCGCGGCCCGCCGAGGGGGCGGGGCGGGGCGGTGTGGGAGGGGCGGGGCCAGGGGCGGCGAGTCTCCACAGAGCCCGCCTTGGGCCCGCCCCCTGCCGGGCTCCGGGCGATGCGCGCGCGCGCGGCCGGACGCAACTGCCGCTCAACGTCGCTCTCTGAGTCCGCACCCCTTTGCCTCCCGGGCCCTCGCCCCGCCCCCAACCGAGCGCCCCACCCCGCGGCGCGTGCGCGGTGCGCAGCTGGCGGAGGCGGGCTGAGGGCGGGAGCTGGGCGCGGGCGGCTGAGCCAATGAGAAGAGGACAAGGGAGAGGGGGCGGGCTGGGTTCTGGCTTCACCTGGGAGAATAACTTTCCAACTCTTGCTAGGACTGCACCGCAGTTAAGGGGCGGCTGACGCTGGGCCCACCCTAGCTCAGCTGCAATCCTGGTGGAGGGGTGCGTACCCAAATTAAGCAGTTAGGACCCGGTGCGTGCCCAGGAAATGGGGGAGGTATGTGAGAGTACAGTCCTGGAGGGGCGACGTTTGGGGAAGGGCAGCGTCCGGAAAGGACCTCCTGGAAGGGACACCTAAGCTGATCAATAAGACTTCACCAAGAGAAATTTGAGTCAGCCCCGGGGTGAAGCCTGGGCGTGTTTGGAAAGTGCGGTCGGTCTGAGCAGAGCCTGGGGAGCTGGAAACTAGTGCTTGCCAGGTGGGGCGAAGAGAGGCACCCAAGTCCCTTAGGGAGATGGGCACTTCTCTCCGCAGACATTTTGAGTCACTTACACTTGCTGCGATAAGAATAGGAGGCCATTAAAGGGAGGCTGGGGCAAGTTTTGGACCTTGGGACAAGAGTTATGTTGTTCATACTCCTCATCTCGTTAGTCAACAAGAGCTATCTCTTTCATTTTGTACTCTTTCCTTCTCCATTCCTCTACCCCCACAAGAACCCTCCCTTGCATAAGGTATGTCAAAAGAGTTATTTATCTGTTTTTAATGAAAATAAATGATATGTGCTAAGAGATTCTGGTTTTTTCCCACAGCCCAATATCTTAGGAATTGTGTTAGCTTTCCGTCACTGTGACAAAATACCTGAGAGAATCTACTTAAAGGAAGAATTTATTGTGACTCATGGTTTCAGAGGTTTCAGTCCATCCTCACTGGGCCCAGTTGCTCTGGGCTGTGGCCCACCCAGTACATTATGGTGGCAGAAGTATGTTCCACAGCAAGACTGTTCACTTTACCAACACAGGGAAGCAAAGAGTGAGAGAGGAAGGGATAAGAGTCCCAATACCTTCTTCAAGGACTCACTTCAATAACCTAACTTCCTTCCACTAGACCCCACCCCCTAAAGGTTCTGCAATATCCTAGTAGCCCTCAGGTTGGCAACCCAGACTTTAACACATGGCCTTTGGGAACCCTGAAGCCATAAACTCCAACAGAGACCTAGCTAGCCAGTGGCTTTATACACCAAGAGTCCATCAATTTACTGATAGTGTTCCATTTATATACCTGACACATTTTACTTATCAGTTCCTCAAAAATGGCGGTTAGGTTGCCAGCAGTTCTCTGCTGTCACAGACAGTGCTAAAGGGGCTCTAGATATGTCTCTTATGGACCATAAACAAGAAAAAGAATTGCTGGGTCATGAAGTCTTCAGGGCTTAGGTTCACTGTCACCTTGCCCTCCAGGATGACTTTGCCAATTTACATTCCAACCAACAGCACATCCTGTAGATAATAATGTGCTAGCATAGTAATCTGACATCAAAGCAGTATTACATAATTTGCATTTTTATTTTCTGATAATTGGTATGTTAACTATTTTTCCATGTACTTAATCATTGAGATTTTTTTCCTTCTGTGAATCACCTATTTTATATCCTTTGCCTATTTTTCTTACTGGATTTCAATCATTTTTTCCGAATGGATGAATGGATGTTTTTATAGATTCTAAATACTAATCCCTTGTCAGCTTCGACACTACAAATATTTCCTACAGTTTCTTGCGCCTCCTGTTAACTGGGTCTTTGCTCTCCCATAATGAATGAGAAATATTTAATTTTGATCTAGCCAGATACTTTGTAACTCTTCTGAAGTGTACCTTTCCAGCCTTATTTAATAATTCACTCTCAGTCATATTTCCCTTCCTGTTGCAGTGGGTCTGGAGTCTGGAGCTCACCTCGGGTACATATTTTCTCCATGTTGTGAGCCAGTTTTCCAGCCGCACCACCTAGCTGCCCATCCCCCCATCTATCAAGCACCATGTTCCCACAGACACACCTCTCTGTTCCTGGGCTCTTGTTGCTGTTCTGTTGATCTGGGTCAGTTCTTGTGCCAGTGCTGTCTGTGCTGGTTGCCACTGTGGCTAAGTTGCATAGTAGTCCCCACTCCCATATCACTTTCTCGTGACATCTCTGGTGTCACTTTCTGTGGTTTCAGTTACCTACAGTCAGTGTAATGTGAAAAATGTTAATTGGAAAAACCCAAGTACTCCATTCTGAGTAGTAATGACATCAGGTGCCTTTCTGTTCCATCCCACCTGGGGCGGGACATGGATCATCCACTTACCCAGAATACACAGGCCGTATAAATGCTGCCTACCCACTGGTCACTTAGTAGCCATATTGGTCATCAGACCAACTGTCATAGCATCACGGTGCTTGTGTTCAGCTTACCTTATTTTACTTAATACAGTGATTGTTCTATTTTTATTATTAGTTGTTATTGTTCATCTCTTACCTTAATTTATAAATTAAACTTTGTCATAAGCACATGTATGTGTACTTATGTATGAGAAAACACGTGGTATATAGAGAGTTGGATACTTTCCAAGGCTTCCAGCCTCCACTGAGGGTCTGGAAATACATCCCCTATGGATAAGGGGAGACCAGTGTGTGTCCTGAGGTCTACTGGAGTGAATCTCTCTGCTCTTTGCTCTTTTTTTGGTATTGCCTTACAAGTTCAAAGTAAAAATGGTCAGTGGTGAGCCCCACAGCTAAAATTCAGGCTTTTAGATCCCTGCTGTACTAAAGAGTAGGGACGAAGGAGGGGAGCAGAAATATGACAGGATAAGGATAGAGAAGAGGCGAGTCCCAGGGAGGTGGTTCTCCTGAGCACATGCCATGTGGGTTCCCTTTTCTGTCATTTTATGGAAGTCTCCCTCCTTTTCTCCTTCACCTGAAATTGACACTAAATATTACTTGTAAACTTCACCCTGTGACAGCGAAGAAGTATTCTCTCATCTCTGATTTTGTAGCAGTATCATGTGAGACTCAGTGGCACTCTTAGTACAGGGCTGGTTGAACCCTCAGACGGAGCTTTGATGTTGACCATCAGGGAGCAGGAGGCTGGTGAGGGGAAGGTGCCCACTTTGATGACTGGAATATGTAACTGCTCTAATTACTGCCCTAGGATGCAAGTAGCCTGCCCAGCCTGGCTGCCAGGAAACCTGACCCCCAGTCCTGTTTCTGCTGGTGACGAATGGTAAACTGACTCTCAGAGCCCTCTTTTTCTCGTTTGCCTTGCTTTCATACATGTCATCTCAGTGCTCCCTCACAACAGGCCTGTGAAGTGTGAAAAGATGCTTCACTAATCCAGTTTGGCAGGTAATGAATGGGGGCTCAGACATGTTATACAACACAGGCATGAATGAACACACAGCAAAGGAAAGCTAGATTTACCTACCTCATTTATTCTTTCAACAACATCATGGTGCTAAAGCACATGGAGTTCGGAGCCCATCTATCTAGGTTTGAATCCAGGCTCTGCCACTTCTGACCTTCCTACTTAGCTACTCTGTTCCTCGATTTACTCTTCTCGAAGTAATAGTGATAGTATTTAACACCAAGTGCTATTGTGAGAATTAAATGAGATAATATGCATATAATACTTAGAAAAATTCCTGGCACAAGTGTTTGCTATTACTATTATTATTGCCACCAGACCAGCGTCCTTCTGGACTCAGGTTCAGAAAAGATACAAAAAAATTGTGCTGAATTAATTGATAACTGTGGGATGCAAAATAATGCTTCCCAAAAGATGTCCCTGTCCCAATCCTCTAAGCCTGTGGATGTTATCTGACATGGTGAAAGGGACTTTGATGTAGCTAATTTAAGGTGTAAGCTGATCTTGATATGCATAGATAATTCTGGATTATCCAAGTTGGCCCTAATCACAGGGACCTTATACATGAAAGAGGGAGGCAGATGTGTCACCGTCAAAGTGATTCGATGCAAGTAATTGACCGGGCGCTGTTGGCTTTCAAGACAGAAAAGGTCATGAGCCTGCAGCCTGTAGAAGTTAAAGTAGGGGGAGATTACAAAATCTTGAAAATTCTCCCAGAGAATCTCCAGAAGAGAACATAGCATTACTGCTACCTTGAATTTAGCCCTGTGACAATCATTTCAGACTCTGACTTCCAGAACTACAAAATAATAAGTTTCTGTTATTTTGCACCATGGGGTCGGTGGTAATTTGTTACAGCAGCATGGGAAACAATGCAATTATCTATATGAGAAAAAGTATTCAAATTTAATCTTTTTCTTAGATCACACATGAAAAACCACTTTCAGGTAAATAAAAAGACAAAACACAAAGACAACTCTTTCAAACATATGAAGAAAACATCATATGTTTATGACACATGAGGACAAAAAAGTCTTAAGCAAAAGAAAAAGTGTACATATGAAATCAAAGACTGAGAAGTCTAGCTACTTTAAAATTAAGAACTTGTATTCATCAGGGGCAAATCATAGGCAGGGAAACAATATTTGCAACAAATTAATTATAGAAGGATTACTATCCAGAATCAAGAAATTTAAAAAAATCTATAAAAAAGACAATTAAATAGAAATATGGGGAAAATATATCAACAATCTTTTTACGGAAGAATCATCAATAGACCTATGAAAAGGAGTTCAAGATCAATTTTTCATTAAGTTTGAGTAATAAAACCTTAATACTAATTAAGCTCAACTCTCAT